AGTCCTTTAACTTTGCCCAAGTCATCTTTGGAGGAAGCTGCAGAAATACTCACCTGGTAGGGCTGGCCTTTGCAAAGATTTTGGGTGTCTGAGTTCTAGGAAAGAGAAGGGGCAAGTATATATGCACTGGAAGAGGGGTGGAAAGAGAGACACAAAGACAGAGGAACATCACAAGAGACAGATCAGATGTAACCAGGTGGGAAGTGTGTGAAGGAGAAAGCCTTCATGAGTTGCCAACAAATGTCCTCCTACAGTTTCAAGAGTGAAAAGTAAAGAGAATCTGCCAGGGTCTAAGACTAATAATTCATAGCTGTGACCTACAAGCTGTCCCCAGATGGATGAAATAATGTCCCTCACTCCTGTCTGATTCCAGCATACCAGGGAACATTCTGATTGCGAGTGGTTTGAAGTACAATGTGAGGAGGAAGTATAGGAGGTGCCGGAGGGTGTGCCTGTCATTTCCAGAAGGAAAAAGATTCATTGCTATGACTTTCTTCATGACATTTTGGAAACTCTCAGCATTAGACAGTCTTGCCCTCCATGAATCAGCTGTTGTGCTTTTCAGCTCAGCACTGATGAGCATTTCCTCCTATCTCCCAGGTGAAGGGTCCAGGGGTTGGCCTGCTCGGTTTCTCCAAAGGAGGTGAAGTGTCCCTTGCCATGGCTGCCTTCCTGAAGAACATCATGGCTGTTGCTTCCCTCAATGCCTCTGTTGCTGCTACATGTATTCCTTTCTCTTACAAGGATAAAATCATCCCCACTGTGACCGTATATGAACACAAAGCCAAGGCCACCAATTCCAAATTCCTTGATTATTCTGAAGTCATTGATGATCCCTTTCAAGCCCCTGGCAACCAAAGCCGGATCCCACTAGAGAAAGCTGAGGCACAATTTCTATTTGTGGTGGGCCAAGATGACCGTGTTGTCAAAAGTGAGTATTATGCTACTGGACTCTGCAAGCTTCTGCAGGCTCAAGGGAAGGAAAATTTTCAGATTCTCTCCTACCCTGGAACAGGGCACTGCATAGACCCACCCTTTTTCCCCTTGTACCACATAGGAAGCCACCCCATTTTTCACAAGCGAGCAGTCCTGGGTGGGGAGCCCAGGGCTTATTCTAAAGCTCAGGTTCATGCTTGGTCACAGATCCAGGCATTTTTCAAAAAGTATTTAATTGCCAACTAATGTGCAACAAATAATGTGCAAGCTACACACAACTTTGAACAACCAGATCTGATAAATTCTACTACAGTTATCATGTCAAACCTTGTCACAGCTGTACCAGTACAACTACAATATCTTCAATACCTTTGCACATCCATAACACAGAAAATAAATGGATTTGCCTTTTCTGTTCCCCTCTCAACCTCGTTGCTCAAGTGTCAAGAAAAGGAATGGTGGTTTTTGCATTAGTCTTTGATAAAACAGGTCATGTGCAAAATGCAGTTACGTTTCTTGGGTGGTTTCTATTCCTCTAATACTTGACAGCGCTTTCCATATCACTGTGGTCTCTACATGCATATGCTATCCTCATGTCATACTAATTGTCTCTAATGACAGTTTTGGAGCAGGGATTTCACTGCTCTTCTGGTGACTGTGTCATTGCAATGGAAATGTCCCTGATTTCTGTGCTGCTGAAAGTGTGTAAGAATGGCTGCTATGGCCAGGATGCTGGGCTGTCTCTGGTGAAGCCTTGGGAAAGGTTGTTTGCCTTTTGTGCCTTCTTCCCTTCCAAAATAAGTGCTCTGGCTTGTGGATACTTCTGGCCCTGAGATATCATGCAAAAAACTTTCTCTTGAATTTACAGCCATTTTTATCTTCTCCTACATGATGTGGAACATTTCGTTCTTTGTTACTGGGATGAGAATTGTAATAAAGAGACTGAGATTTAAAAGCCATGGAGTCTTTTGCTGTGCTTTGGTTAGAAGCAGGGTTTGCCACTTGACTACTTTCTCATCCCAGGGTGAAGGCTTAAGAAAGCTTCCAGCAACTTGGGATCAAAGGTTGCCCAGGTGGGAACAGGAGGCCATAGAAGATGGACACATAGCCCCCTTACCTTCACTCTCTTCCACAGCTCTTGTGTCACCAAGCATGGAGCAGAAGGAATTTTGCTGAAGCCTCCAAGATCCTTTCCCTTAGCATCTGTTCCCACATATGGTCAAGCCCATGATCAAATCCAGTAGTGCAAGGCACAGAGCATTGTTCTCAACAATAGGAGTAGTTGCCAGACATTCAGTGCTAGACACCAGACAACATACCCAAATGTTAGATGGCAGAACATCTCACCTGTTTGCAGAGAAAGGGTAATTTCCACGGTGAATTAAAGATTGCCAGATATCTCTGACCACTTAATATTTCCAATTAGGGTGATGCTTGAGATTCTCTTAGATGTTTCCACTTCTTTCACACCTCTAAGACAGAGAGGAGGAGCTCAGAGCATGAGGCATCCCTGCCTGCATCTCCCAGGAAGAGTGGGACCTTCAGGAAACAACTCTTCCTCTGCAGTTCCCTTTGGATCAGAAGATCCATCTCTGCCTAAGATGTACTGAATGACCCTGTTTTTTAAATCCTTGCACAATCCATTACTAGAAGAGCCATGTTTCCTGACCTACCTAAATAGTCTGTGAAAGTGCTCCTCCTTTTTTTGCTCCTGCATCCCTGACCACCCTGACCATCCTTCCTAATATACCTGTCTGTGTGGCTGCCTAGGCTGGCCAGAGCCTGGAGGAGACATAACCCACCTTTCCCATGCCTTGGGGCAACGAACAGAGAAGCAGAGCAGGCAAGGAGAAAAGAAGCAATGGTGAGCAAGTACTGGTGTGACTTCTCTCTGCTTCGGCTGGAGCCGGCCCTTGTTGCAGTCCCTTGGCTGAGTGGCACGGCACAGCTCGACCGTGCCGTGCCTGTCCCATCTCTGTACGGTCTGTCTTACACCGGCCCTTCCCTCTCCAGTGAATTCCGACTGCGATTCTGCTCGGTGGCTCGTCTTCTCCCCGTGTCTTCTGCCCGCAGCCCCCGTCCGGCCCGGGAGAGCTCAGGGGGACACCGAGGAGCTCGCCGAGGCCCCGAGGGTTTCAAAGACTCGGTAGCCTTTGGATGAAGCCTCCCACAGCCGGGGAAGGCAGCGGGGGGAAGACAGGAGAAGAGGCGAGGAGGCAGGCATGCAAGGAAGTAGGGAGGCACGGAAACCGGCAGGCAGGCAGGAGGGAAGCAGGCGGGCGGCACAAGGGACCTGCTCCTCCCCGCCGGGGCGTGCCAGCGGCACTCCAGGCCCGAGCCCGGCCCAGGTTCCGCGAGGATCTGCCCTAGAAACCGCCCCCAAGGGCGGGAGCGATCCGGACTATGGGGCAGGTCAGCGCCCGCTCGCTGTGCCGGGCCAGCTCCAGCGCCTGGCAGAGGCGGCTGCCCTGGCCCGGCCCCGCGCCCGCAGCCCCG